GGAACCGGTCTGTATGTGGGATCCGAACCCTCGGCGGGAGCGCCACCACGCTCCCAAGCGGCGCACTGTAGCAGTGCGCCACCGGGCCGGCCCAGAAGTGCTTATTTTTAAATCCCATATTATCCTAGGTAGTTATTTATACAATTTGATTATAGTTTCCTCTGTAGAAATTTGAAACTTTAAATTCCTTAAGCATTTTATGTATAAGAAATAAAATATGTAATGATATAAAATAGGAGTTTAGGTTAAAAGGAATCCATTTTTAAAAATGAATATTGGTATTTGGTATTAGAGTCTCTTATTCATTTATTCATTTTAAACAAAATCTTCCTCTTCTATAGGATTCTAAACTGCCTTCTGCGGTTCGAAGTACACTTCTGGAACTGTTTGGTCAAATAGAAAGAGAATTTGAAAACCTTTATATTGAAAACTTAGAATGTGAGTATCTATCTTAATATACTTGTATAACTTTTCACCTATCCATAGAAATTTTTTGAGAGTAAAGTTTGTGAATGACAGTTATCGCTGTGTTAGTTTTCTGTTCTGCTGCAACAAACTTAGTGGCATAAAATAACAAATGTATTATCTTACAGTTTTGTAGGCTGGCATGATTTTCACCAGACTAAAGTGAAGGTGTTGGCAGAGCTGTGCTTCCCTCCTGGAGGCTCTAGGGATGAACGTTTCCTGCCTTGTTTGGATAGCAACAGAATTTTCTTCCTTGTAGTTTAGGGCAGAAGTCCGTTTGCTGTACTCCTAGGCACATGGCCCCCTTTTCCCTTGTTGATGGGTCTCCTCGTTGCCTCTGACCCACCCTGATTGGACAATCCAGGGCAGTCTCTCCACCTGCAGAGTCCTTCTGTGCCTTGTGGGGTAGCAGGGCATGGGGCTTAGGGCATGGGCCTACTGCACCTACCAATCCAAATTGTGATTTTATGAAAATAAATGCATCTTATAATTCTTTCTATACCAAGTATACTGTAAACTGAGAAAACTTTGATTCATGTTTTTCTTCATAATATACTGTCATTTGAACGTTTCCTAAAATGTATGTGTTACCTGACTTAATAAAGGTAAATCAAAAGAATTTTTAATTAACTTGGCTTTAGCTTTTTTTTTTGGAAGTAAAGCTTACATATATTTAAAAAAAAAGTATGAAAAGAAAAGATATCTACCATTACCCCTCACACATTTCAAAGGGAAACATTTTCTGTATTCTTCTGTGTTTAGTTCTTCTGGTGATCATTTCTGTAAACTTAAGCGGTCTACTTCTAGTTTTAGGTCTGTCTGTAGCGGGCCACGTGCCTCCATGCTTGAGCTCGTTCATTTGTGGTGTTAGGGAGAAGCCAGTAGCGTGTCCTTTACTCCTTTTACTGCTTTGTTGCATGCCAGTTTTTATTTTTATTGGGTTTGTGTTATAAAATTTATATTGTGCAAATGTACCTCTGAAGAAGTGTTTCATGCTTTATTTACAAGTTGATTTCAAAAATGAAATACTAAGAAATAACATTTGCATTATTAGACTTTTTCACTCCTTAACTAAGTCGTGTGGTTGGATCAACAATGAAAATGTAATCCTATGTCATTAAAAATTTGCTGTTGGAAAATTTCACATTTTAATACTGGATTCTCTTTCTTTTTTAAGTTCACCTTGAAAATTTACAGAGGGAGAGATTATTTCAACTTTTTATAAAATAAAAAGTAGGTACATGTACAGCATCTAATTTTGAGGGTTTTTAAGTATCAGAATTTTTTTTTTCCTTTTTGTCTTTTTTCGTGACCGGCAACGGATCGCAACCCTCAGTGTCGTGCCCATACCGGACCGGGACCGGCAATGGGATCGCAACCCTCAGCGCCACGCCCGCACCTCGCTCAGCCAGTGAGCGGCCGGTCTGTATGTGGGATCCGAACCCTCGGTGGGAGCGCCGCCTCGCTCCCAAGTGGCGCACTGTAGCAGTGCGCCACCGGGCCGGCCTCAAGTATCAGAATTTTAATGACTAGAATATTATTAAGTTTCCATTGTGATTAAAGCCTTATGTTTTATGAATTCATGCAATTTGCTCAGGAAGCTATAAGATTAAGAATTACTAATGCCAACTGTACTTTGAGTTTATGTTGTCTAGTGCTTGAAGGTTTTGGTGGCTTTTGCTACCTGTAAGATAAAGGGCAACTTGCTTAGATGGGTGTTGTTTAGAGCCTTTTGCCCCAGCCTTCTCCTGACCTGGCCTCATTCTGCTCTTTCCTTCGAACCTTTTGGCCAGACCAGTCTGCCGCTTGCACATCCTGGGAGGCTGTGTGATGTAGTGACAAGGGCCTAAGAGTTGGAGCTGGGTAGGTCTGTGCAGTTCAGGTCCCAGCGGTGACTCTTGAGTAGGCTTGTGTCCTTGTCCGGGTGCTCGGGCCAGCTCCACAGAACAGATAACCAGAATGGCCTGTTCGCTTCTCAGTGTCTTTGCTCTGTCTCTTCTTGATAGCTGATATCCTCCCTTTTTATGCTTCTCTTTTCCCTATAATTCTGGAGCTCCTATTTGATTTTCAAAACTTTTCTTGAATTTTTAGTCCTTGTTATATACAGTCATCAGGTTGTGGTGATGTGATACACATCAGTAGTTACATATTGTTATAGTTTGTTCCCAGCTAGACTGTAAAGATTTCACTGAATTTTGGTGTCAGAATAATGTTTTTAAGTGCACAGAATCAAGCACAAAGGAAACTGTGAGAGCAGCATTTTCCATAGTGTAGCAAGAGTGTATGAGCTTTTATTTTTAGGATGGTATCTTGAATGATGTCTTGAGTTTTTCAGGAACTCTATAAATTGTGATCTTGCTTATTAGAATGTTATATATGTCCGTGTTTAGACAATACTAACCGGTAACAGTTTAACATGTGCAAATTTTGAAAGTAGTAACTATATTTAAACGTAAAACCATATTTTACATTTTTGAAAAATTTTTTTTATTCCCAGTGCGTAGAGAAATTGATACCCTTAATGAACGTTTAGCTGCTGAAGGACAAGCGATTGATGGGGCAGAACTGAGTAAGGGCCAGCTTAAGACAAAAGGTAATGTGGATGCTTGTGAAAGTGTTGTCCTGCAGGGTATGTGTGGAGAGAGAAAGTGTTGTCCTGCAGAGGACTTGTGAAGGACACTGGCTTACTTGCTGTTTGCTGTCAGCAGAACCTGAAACGCGTGACTAGGGGTGGTCTAGAAGAAGGATGAGTGAGGGGCTGGGGTTACATGGCAGATGTGCCCTTGGGAGTTCACTTTCTCCTGTGTGGGATGAAAGGTGCACTTTGTCCAGCTGTGGTGTTGACGCTTGACTGTCACTTCTCTGTCTCTGCAGCCAGTCACAGCACTAGCCAGCTCTCTCAGAAGCTGAAGACCACCTACAAGGCTTCCACCAGCAAGGTACGCAGGGCGCTGGCCCTCGAGCCTGTTGTGTGGTGCTTGCGGTGTGCAGACGTGTACTTCAAGCTGCATATTTTCCAGCTAGAAATGTGTGATGGAGAAAGATAAACGTCTGGTTTTCAGGAAAATTCAATTTTTAAAAGGAATATCATATGTTAAGTAACCACAGTATGCAAATACTAATACAGTAACTTGCCCTAATACTTACTGAGATTAATATATTATGTATTATTAAATATATTGTCTTTAGAGGGAAATATATTTTCTATTGTTAACTGGCTAGATATAAAGGCTCTGAATTAGCAGAAAGCTAATGAAAAAATATACAGTAATGAAAATTATGTTCTGAGCTAAAGTTACATTTTAGTTCATTATCTTATTTTCCTCAATTTTCTGAGTGAGATCAGGAAATGAAGATTTGTCTCCAAGGCACGTAGGGACATTTGTGGAATTTTTTTTTTAAAGTATCTTTTTAAAATGGCAAGTATTTAATTGTTTGGAATTCATTGACCTATGATGGAGTATTACTGTGAAGTAATATTTTGAGATAATTTTGTATGCATTTCAAATATACAAAAGATTAGTTTTCCACCCTCAGTGAACGTATACTCCTTTTGCTAAACCTGAGGGAAAGCGTTGAAATTTGTACTGAGTCTGCTGTGGTGACATCAGCAGTCATCGTTAGCTTTTTACTTTTCCAGTTTAATTCCTTGAGCTTGTAGTTCCTTGAGCTTGTAGTTCAGCATGACATCTGTAGTGAGATTAACTACAATTGATAGAGCAGACTAGTCTTTCTGCTATTTCTCCTTATTTGAAAGTCTGATAATTCTTTGCTATTAAAGAAAATCTGAATATTGCTGGCATTTTCTACTTTTTCCTTTGATAACATCATGAATGTAAGTTGCTAATTTATTTTTTTTGTCATATAATGTCTAGCTTATATTTATTAGTTCTGATATTTTTAATAAATTAGCTTTAAACTTTTTCTTCAAAATGAAGTGTGAAGTTATGTTCTTCCTCATTTAACTTCTTGTTACATTATTTTGAATTATATTGCTTATTCTGGTGCATATAGTTGTATATATACAAAGCATGGTCTTAGAATTCCAAAACTTTCTGATTATTTCTGAAGTAGAGGAAAAAAAGATTATATAAAGTTATCCTTTACCATTAGCAGTAAAAAATAAGATTTGACAAATGTAAGGTGTGTATAATAATACTTTGCTTTAAAAAATGTATTAGAGATATTTAAAGCCCAAGTCATTTTAGATACTAGAATTTCATCTGAATTTGTAAGAAACGTATTACTAGTGACCTTTATAGGATTTTGCACACTGTGTACCCATCTTAAAAAATAATGAAAATATAAGCCATCTGAAAATTGAAATTATTTGGTAACAGAATATATTCTGATTTGTACTACAGCTGCAGCGTGGATTCTTGGTATTAAAGCTAAGCATGAATGGAGCAAGAAAAACGCTACAGTCTAGATTCGTTACTTTCCTTCTGAAAGTCAGGTAGCGTGTTTGGTGAGATGGGGAGCACAAAAGTGTAGTATACTCAGGAGAGGGTTCTCCCCTTCATGGGTCGCTAATGACATATTTCTAATGCTTTATTGGGAGGCAGGTAAGACAGTCTAACTTGCAAACCAGTTTAAAGAACCTTGTGAAAATGTTTGCAAATATTTTTATAAAGGTAAGTATCTTTTATTGTTGTAAAAGCTCTTCCCAATTTTTAAAGAAGTGTGTTAGATTGTGTCTCAGTTAACGTGATTTAGGATGACAGGCATAGCATCGATTTTTTGCTTCATTCCACTGTTTTCTGTTGTGAACGTTTCTTCTGAGTAATTCAGTCTGTTTGGTGGGGCCTCTTTGTAGTCGTGCCTAAGTCAGCGTTTTCAAGAACAGAGAGTTAAAAGCTGACAGACAGCCAAAGTGTAATGGGTGTTCTGGAAGTAACACATGGAATGACTTATTGCCATATCCATAAACAGCATGTCATCTGCTTCCAAAATCCCACCCAATCCCTCCAGAAGTGCAGCTGGAGTCTCCCCGCAGTAACCTCCTGTTCTAACTGTACAAATGGGCTAGGTGAAGGGTGCTCTCCAGGGGTTTGTTTCTTCCAGTGGAATTATTTATGTTAGACGTGGTGAGTGATGTTGACAATGAAATTTACTACAACTCATTATGGGGAAGTTTTGTGTGTTCTTCACCTTCTCTCCTAACATGTTACAATACTGTTTAACAGCCGAAGGGCACTCTGTGTAGGCAGATCATCTTCTGATATTGCAGAGGGATAACTTCCCTGGGTAAACAGGATGTTAATTTCAAGAAGAAAAGATGATGGGTTTGAGGTTGAACAGTCCTTTTATAATTCCTGTTAAACTTAAACCAGGTCAAATGGAACCTGTTGTGTTACGGGTAAAAATGTTGGTCTCCTGTCAAGCATTAGTTTTGGTCTTTCACTGTATCTGGGGAGTAGTTTGAAGCACATACCAAATTGATGTGGCCGTGACTGTGGATTGTGCTTTTAATATGTGTATGTAAAAATGAACTTAGATATGCTTTTCAGGGCTTTGCTAAATCAATGTTTAAAACAAGGTGTGTAATGCTACCAATTTTTGTTTTTACTTGATTGTATGGCTTCATTATTTAAATAATCTACATTATTCTGATTTACTTAAAAGCTGAAAAGAAGTTCTCTCATCTGAGAGCAATTTAAAAACCAAACTCTGAAGAAATCTTTGTGTTTAATTAGATTCTTCCTCACTCACTTCATGTATTTCCTTATCAGAGAAGACAAGAGCTGTTTGTCATGTGTATTGTTATACAAGACTGTGTCACGACGTGTGCCTCGGTGTTTGTGTTGTTTTCGTGTCTGTCTCATTAGACTGTGAGCTTCCGAGAGGCGAGGAGCCCAACTATCACGCGGCTGTGTCCCTTCCTTCTAGCCCCATGCCCGGCTCTGAGCAAGTGCTCAATAAACTATCTTGAACAACCTACTCTTCTGTTATAGAGTGTCGTCTTTTGGTCCTCCTCCACCGTGGGCTTTTTTCCTCCTGGTGATACGTGTTTGGTGTAAGTTATCAAAAACAAAAAAGTGAAAGTCCCCCAATGATCAAAGTAATTAGTGTTACCTGTTTGGGGTATCCTTCCTGACTTTCTCATGTCTGGCTGGATAGCTAGCTATTTCTTTTTTTAAAAGAGTTTGGAAGTTTTGTCTGACGATTTGGATTTGTGGAGGAGCGACTTCCCTTCTTCTATACTAACACGTGACTTCCCTGGCTCTGTCACCATGACGTGGGGCCCTAGAAGCTCTCTCATGACCTTCAGTCTCTGTGGTGTGAGCCCATCCTTGCCCTGCAGGACACTTTCATTCTGTTCTGCTTGTATTGTATTGCTTTGGTGTTTTATACATTCTACGCAGTGACTTATGCATTTTTCAAGTCATCTTTTTCTGTTTTACCTTTTTCAACTTTGAAAAATTTATTTCAGTAAATATTTAAAAATACTCCTCTTCTTTATTTTAGATTGTCTCCAGCTTTAAGACCACCACGTCTAGGGCTGTTTGCCAGCTTGTGAAGGAGTACATCGGGCACAGGGATGGCATCTGGGATGTCAGTGTGGCCAGGACACAGCCTGTGGTACTCGGGACTGCGTCTGCTGGTGAGTCGGACTCTGATCCAGCCAGCTTGTTGAAATGCGGCTCTGCCTGACACAGACTGCTGGAGATGTCCCCAGAGGCAACAATGTGACGGGAATTGTTAGAACTGAAGCAGGGGTGCTGGCCATGCTTAGTACAGAGGCCTGCAGTCCTCCTGCCCTTTTGTGGTCCCGTGCCAACAGTGGACATGCATCTCTGAGGAAAGAGATGCTTGTTTTGGGTGCATTTAGCTTAACTGTGTCAAAGAATTCCTCAAAAGTGGAATATTTTTTAAACATTAGATTTTTTTTGGTTGTCTTGGTTGTTGTTATTCATAGTCAAGTGTGCTTGTGATCTGCACATATATTTGACAGTCTTTTTCCATTAGTGAGGTACACCTGGGGGAGAGTGCTGTGGTGACGACTGAAACACGCACGTCATCAGGGAGTTGACCCGGCAGTGGGTGCTGGTGGCACCACCAGGGTTTGCCTGCCGAAGTTGCAGGGAGGATTTGCCTGCAGGAGTTGCAGGGGTGGGGTGTCTGAGGTGGCATGACATGACAGCCCTCCAGACAGAAGTTGCTGAAGTGCAAGATGGTGCTCACTTGTTGAAAATGACTTTCCTAGGTTGTGAGAAATTAATTACTCGCTCACTAGATTCTGCTTTTTAAAGGCAAAATAGAACATGATTAACCAGTTAGTGTTGAAGAAAATTCTTTCTCTTGTTTGAAACTTTGGAAATCATCATTAAAAAAAGAGTAAAGAGAAAAAGGGTTCTTTCTCATATTTCTGAAATTTCATTGGGATAATAGGCATATACTTTATATTTTCCTATTATATCTACTGTTTTTTTTTTTTTTTAATTATGCCTATAAGAGGAAAGGCTCAAAGGAAGTCTTATTATCTTAAATAATTTGTAACTGGATCTGGATGCTATTTGAGTTTGAGTATTGGAAGATATTCTGAAAACTATTAGTACTTCAGTAAAATACTGAAACTGTGATGCAAATTATCTCTGTATGTAAGTCTCAAGCATGATGTGGTCAGTGTAGTAGTGAACTAGGAAATCAAGTCCCTGCCTGTCGGTTTGCCGGTCTGTGGCCTCAGATAAGTTACAGCCTCTTCGATCTTGGAAGCATTGTCTTCAATCAGTTGAATTTTACAGAGTAGCAGAATCAAAACTGCAGGAGATATTAGTGTATTGTAACTTCTCATTTTTAGAGTATTTATCTTACTTTATTAAAAAGACTATAACATTGATGATGGCTAAGTTACAACTGTTTATTTTGATCTTGCAGATCACACGGCTTTGCTGTGGAGCATAGAGACAGGGAAGTGCCTTGTCAAATACACAGGCCATGTGGGTTCGGGTAAGCATTTGCCTGAGTGACTACTGTAGTCAGAAGCTGTTTCCTACTTTGATTCGCTTTTAAATTCTTGCGTGTTAAAGTCATCTGTGTTACTTGAAAGTTTTACTGTTTTGGTTGTCAGGGACAGTGTAGTATATTCAAAAACTCGATCAACTCTGTGCCTTTAGCTCGTGTGGGTTTCTTGAAGGTAAAAAGCTTAACTCCCTGAGCCACATAGAAATCATATTAGTCTACCTTTTATTTAACGTTGTATATGAACTGTATGTAGGCAGTTTTGTAACTGAAATATGCTCATTTTCTATCACAAAGTATATGTCTGCATTAGAGATTTACTTTTAGTGCAGTGATAATTTGGATGTGTTCAGGTGCAGTCAGTGATGCTGTCTGTTACTGTGCGTTTGTGCTTGCAGTTAGTGCTTTACACAGCAGCAGCCGTTTTCTGCCTTTGCAGTTATACCTGTGTATGTACCGATGTCCTGACCAGATTTCGTGTTTCACTTTTCTCCCAAACGCCCTGTGTGTTTCCTTGTCCCTGGAACGCCCTCATCCTGTCTGTCTATCGGAAGCTGCCTCCCTGCTCAGTCCGCTGCCTCAGCCAACCACTGCACCTTGTAGGCAGACCCAAAGTCACAGAGGTGCACACTTGGGTGAACCTGTCCACCTGAGCACCTTCCTACACATCTCAGTGGTCCCGTCCAAGGCCAGGGCTCTAGGTGAGCTGCGGACCCCACTCTTGCTTCCTCTAGTGATTCCTGTCGTCGCTGCAGCTTCTGTGTCTTTCTTGGCAGGGGTGTTTTCCACGTGGCATGCAAACACTCCGTGCCTTTTCATGTCAGACCTCCTCTCCCCATGCTTCTTCCACTCCAGTCTCCTCTCACCTGTGTCCCGCAGAGCCTGCAGAATGCAGAGCAGGTGCTCAAAAGCATAGTGAAGCCCTGTTAAAGGAGTGAGTGCTGTGTTCTGCTTCTACTTCCTCACCTCAAATTTGCTCTTTAAAACACTTAAAAAATTAAATGTAGATACATAGCTTAGAAATTCTTTTTTTTTTTCTTTTTTTTTTCTTTTTTTTTTCTTTTTTTTTTCTTTTTTTTCCTTTTTGTCTTTTTTTGTGTCCGGCAATGCGATCGCAACCCTCAGTGCTGCACCCGCACCTCGCTCAGCCAGTGAGCGGGAACCGGTCTGTATGTGGGATCCGAACCCTCGGCGGGAGGGCCGCCGCGCTCCCAAGCGGCGCACTGTAGCAGTGCGCCACCGGGCCCGCTCCATAGCTTAGAAATTCTTTTTTTTTTCTTTTTTTTCCTTTTTGTCTTTTTTTGTGTCCGGCAATGCGATCGCAACCCTCAGTGCTGCACCCGCACCTCGCTCAGCCAGTGAGCGGGAACCGGTCTGTATGTGGGATCCGAACCCTCGGCGGGAGGGCCGCCGCGCTCCCAAGCGGCGCACTGTAGCAGTGCGCCACCGGGCCCGCTCCATAGCTTAGAAATTCTTTTTTTTTTCTTTTTTTTCCTTTTTGTCTTTTTTTGTGTCCGGCAATGCGATCGCAACCCTCAGTGCTGCACCCGCACCTCGCTCAGCCAGTGAGCGGGAACCGGTCTGTATGTGGGATCCGAACCCTCGGCGGGAGGGCCGCCGCGCTCCCAAGCGGCGCACTGTAGCAGTGCGCCACCGGGCCCGCTCCATAGCTTAGAAATTCTTTTTTTTTTCTTTTTTTTCCTTTTTGTCTTTTTTTGTGTCCGGCAATGCGATCGCAACCCTCAGTGCTGCACCCGCACCTCGCTCAGCCAGTGAGCGGGAACCGGTCTGTATGTGGGATCCGAACCCTCGGCGGGAGGGCCGCCGCGCTCCCAAGCGGCGCACTGTAGCAGTGCGCCACCGGGCCAGCTCCATAGCTTAGAAATTCTTAAAGTGTTACACAGTCTACATGAAAAACTGTTGGCTTTTTCGTGCTCGCTCCCTCCCTAGTCTTTTTTCTTACATTTTTCTACACAAGCCTATTTCATTACAGGTTGAGTGTCTCTTATTTGAGATGCTTGGGACTAGAAGTGTTTCACATTTTGGGTTTTTCTGGATTTTGGAATATCTGCATTATAATTACTGGTTCAACATCCCAAATCCAAAATCTGAAGTGCTCCAGTGAATATTTCCTTTGAGCATGATGTTGGTGCTCATAAAGTTTCAGGTTTTGAAGCATTTTGGATTTCAGATATTTGGGTTAGGAATGCTCAACTTGTACTTTTAATTTTGGAATTTTAAACAAAGAATTGACTCTTTTAAGAGAAACGAAGATTTACCTCACATAAATATTTTCAGTCTTTACTCCAGATAGTGATGTTACGATTTTTGTTGAAATGGGTAATCAGATTTAAGTAATTTTTCTGCAGTATGTTGTTCACACCTATCTAAGTACTGAGCCTTGATTTCACCCACAGTTCTGTTTTCTTTGGAATCAATAGTCTCATTTTTTCTTTTGTCTAGTTTTCTGTACGCATCCCTAATTCATCCTTAAACACTGCGAGGTTTGTAAAATTCCTCACAGGGCGATCAGACTCTTTGTTGTTGTTTCCTCCCTGGAGTTCTCCGTTCTCTGGACTGGTTGATATCAGAGTCCTGCGCGGTTGCCCCGCGCATTGCCTTCAGCAGCCTCCTGGGGTTTCTTTTGGCCTCTCCTCTGTAGCATCCCCTGTTTCTGGACCCCATGTCTTCTTTCTTCACAGAAACCTTTCAGTCACTTCCCTATTAAAGTTTTGTTGGAGGAAACATTTTTGAGACCTTAAATGTTTGAAAAATAGATTTAGTCTTTAAACTTGATTGATAATTTAGCTGAGTATATTCTTTTACATAGGAAGCAATTTTCTTAAAAAAAATACGAAGGTATTGTTCCAGTGTCCTATTTTTATAGCTTTCAGAATTGATGTTAAGTCGAATGCTATTTTGAATCTTGATCCTTTACAGGATTTTTTTTTTTTTTCTTGAGGACTTTTTTTTCTTTAAATTGTGCTGGACATTCAGTGGGACTTTTCAGTCTAGAAATGTATATTCTGAGAAATACTGAGAAATATTTATGTGTTTTGGAATTCCTGTTAATAGGATGTTGGGCCTCCTAGATTGTTCCTTTAATTTTGTCTTTTCTCTTTTATTTTCTACTTTATTTTTTCTTTATTTCTAGGAGGTTTTCTAAACTTTATCTTATAGGTCTTCCATTGAAAAAAACCTGTGCTGTCATGGTTTTAATTTCCTATGGTTCTTTCTTGTTCTCCAAAATTTCGTTTTTATTATAATATTCTTCAAAGTCTTCACTCATCCCTTTAATTAGTCCATCAAGACACTGAGCCTGTCTTTTCCTTGGGGTGAGGAAGTGAAGTGTGGGGACAGTGGGGGGTGCTTCCTGGGACTCCAGCTGCGTCTCACACCAGCTTTCAGTGCATTCCCCCGTGTGCAGTCCCATGCCTGCAGGGCGCTTGGGACCTTTCATTTTTCTTTCTTTTTTAAACACTGAATTTTTTATTTCAGTATGACATACACCCTGCAAAGTGCACATCGTAAGTGTGCAGTGAACCTTTACAAAGTGATGGCACCTGTGTAACTACATCCAAGATTAAGATGTTGACTGTGAGATTCATCCATGTTACTGCATTGTCATATGGCACTATATTACATTGATATTTCCAGTGTTGAGCTCTTACAGATAACTATAAGTGTGTAGTTTTTCTTTTGAGTCTTTTGAGATATGTACGCACAGCACGTATGCGGTCATTTCTGTTTGGTGCATGTCTTGGAGTACAGTGGTTGGAGCGTCTGGTGCTGCAGGTACTCCAAGCAGTCTCTACCCTTTGTGCCCATGTTGTCCCAGCAGGTTATGAGTGAGTGTGAGTTGCTCACTTTCTCTCCATCAGTCAGTGTGTTAATCTTAGCTTTTCTGGTGTGTGTGGAGTAGTATCACCATTAGTTTAATTTGAGTGTTTAAATACCTGGATTTCCTGTGGGATTCCTTATATAGTCTGTTTCTTGTTGGTTTTCAGTCATTTGATCCTGTCTCTTTATATGCCTGGTAAGTTTTTTCCTTTTCCTCTTTCTGTAATTTTTATTTGTGTTTCTATTCTGCATGGTGAGTTTCTTCAGTTTCTCAGGGCAGACGTTCTGTTCCACTCAGCTCCGTGTCCTGTCTTTTGGTGCACAGTCACTGAGTGGCTGAGCCCTGGGCGTTCTCACTCTTTGTTTACTCATGTACATTTCTCTGCTTAGTAATTTTTATTTCATGGTCTGGCATTGTATATAAAAAATTGTACAGGCTCTGAGTGGTATTTCTTCATTCTGGATAGGATTTAATTTTTCTCTGGCCAGCAGGTAGAGTGTGGATGGCTTGTCTTGATTTAGTTAAGGGTTGGATGATTGGGGTGGATTTCAGGTGTTAGGAGCTCTGGTGTGTTTCTGATTTTCCCTTGTTCTAAAGGTGTCATCTTTTGAGGGTCTGTCTTCACAGGCCCTGAACTTTAATTTTGTTGCCCGGTACTCTCAGCTTTTTAGCTCTTAGAGGCTGCTTTCTGCCTGGTTTATGGCCCTGTGCCCTACCCGCCCAGCGTGGCTATTGACAGTGGTTGGAGGGCGCACAGGGTCACTGCAGCTTCCTCCTGGCTGCCTTCTCAGGGATCTGGGCCTCTAGTTCCTGCTGCTTCCAAGGCCTCCTGCTCCCATTGTTGCCTCTTCCCCTGCTGAACGGGTGGCAGGTTCTAGGCCGCGACACGGCTGGCTGCCTGCTTGGTCTGTGCCTTGGGGGAGGTGGTGAGGTTGTGGGCTCTCCCAGTGCTTCTCTTTGGGGTCTTCGTCCCTGACTGCCTTGGGTTCTCCGTGGTGACTTCAAAAGCTTTTTATCTATTTTTTGATATTTGTATACAGCTTGTATGATTGATCCAGTAGGGGAATTAAGTGAGTCTGTTACAAGCAGCTTTATCCTCCTCTTATTCTTGAGCCTTGATTTGTTTTTCGTAGGCTTTCCTTTCTTCATTCAAGTTAACTTCAGCCTTCCTATTTCCACTCAGTTACTTACCATTACCCATCTACTTTTCTAGCTTCCAGTAGTTGGTGGATGTCTCTTTGCTTGTTGTCCCTGCAGTTCTTCCTTTGTGGGTCTGTGCCTGTTTATTTTAGGGCCTGTAGTGTGTTTAGAGAAGTTTCAGGAGAGAGTCGAGTGGGGGCCTGTGTTTCTAGCACCACATTGGCTCTGCTGTCTCCCTGCTCTTCCTACTCAGACCTTCAGTTTGCTTTTCCCAGTGAGAGTATTTTGATTGCTGCTGGGTTTACTTACATGAAAGGGAGTGGTTAAGCTGACTGGGTTTCTACTCAGTAGCACTCAATAGACAGTGCCACCCACTCTGCCTGCCTCCTCTTGGACCCTCTGAACAGAATGCTCTGTTGCAGCTGTCCCTTGGCCTCCAAGAGAGTGGGGGTGTCTGGGCCTCTTACAGGTGGAGATGCCAGCAGAGGGAGATTGTTGTCCTATTTGTTCCTCTCCTTTAGATTAAAACTTAAATCTTTATTAAAGTTGTCCGTGCAAAAGATTTAAAGAGCCAGTGAGTATCTTTGACACTTGCTGTGAAAAGTGGCAGTAGCTGGCACCTCTCCATTTCTGCTGCTGAGCATGGCCGTCATGGATCATGCTGGCTGCAATTTGGGCTCTGTTGCCATATCTTTAAATAACGTCTTCATGGTGCTGCCATTTGATGTTTCAGTTTTAGCCATTATCTGACTTTCTGCTGTGGAAGATAATTAGCTCTCTTCCAAACCGCCTTCTCTGCCGTGTTACACCTGCATGTGGTTCTAGCCCCCCCCCCCATAACTCTGTTGTGATTTTGGTACAATCAGTGATCAATTTTCACTTTATTATGTCTGTGTAAGTAGTGCCAAATATAAACTGTCACTGCAGCTACTCACAGTCCCCGAGTGCCCACCGCGTTGCAGGTTCTCGGTAAGCACGGACTTGCTTTCTTTCATTTACACCTACAGTAGTCTGGAGATAAAGAGTATGAATGCTCCCAGTTTTATTAGTGACCTATGGGAGGTTTACATAGACATAATAAAGTGAAACTTGATTACTGATTCCATCAAAATTTCTCATTGAAATTGGGAGCATTAATATTTTTCTGTTAGTAGTTGTAGTGATAAGTTTATTTTTAGCATTATTTAGTGCTTAAATTTATTACTTAAAAGGTGTACACAGTTTTCACCAGCTCTTACCATAGTTGTTTGTATTTTTTTTTTTGTCTTTTTTTGTGTCCGGCAACGGATCGCAACCCTCAGTGTCGCGCCCGTACCGGACCGGGACCGGCAACGGGATCGCAACCCTCGGTGCTGCGTCTGCACCTCGCTCAGCCAGTGAGCGGGAACCGGTCTGTATGTGGGATCTGAACCCTTGGCGGGAGCGCCGCCGCACTCCCAAGCGGCGCACTGTAGCAGTGCGCCACCGGGCCGGCCCTATAGTTGTTTGTATTTTAATGTTGGTAATGAAAGAGCATCTTCTAGCAAATTTCATGTAGCTCTTTGGAAAAACATAGTTCTAATGGTGTAGCTAACAAAATTTCATTGAAGAAGTAACTTAATTTGGTAACATTTCCTCTAGTTCTGTGTTAGGGACATGTGTTTTCTTGATGAGGTGTGGAAGTGGGGTCAGGCTGACTGTTGTAGTTCCCCCATTATCAGACCTGTCCTAGGTGGTGGGGTGGACGCAGGGTGGGCTTGGTACCAGGATAGTCCTGTCGAGTGGGCTCCAGCTCAGCATGCTTGCTCTGTAGTTGACCGTTGTCTGAACGGTCCCATCTGCATCTAAGTTGCTGGTGAGGTGCTAGGGCTCTTTCCTCTTGCTCTCACTCCTTTAACAAGGAACGGAGAGCTTCCTTGCAAGACCGACCCATCTCGGTGAGGAGAATGGAAGATTTCTAACCGGCTCAGCCCTTTGCGGTTCCTTTCCTGAGGCTGGTGGGGGTGATGTCCTCCGAGTCCCTGCCATCTCCACTGGTCCCAGCAAGGCGGGTGTTCCGAGTGGGGGAGGGCGGGTGGGCTGATGCTCTGGTGAGGAGGCGGAAGGCGGTATTCCCAGCTCTCTAACTTGCCCTCGCCAGCTGTCGTAATTATGTTTTCTTTTTTCATCCTGACTGATTTTTAGCTTTGAATGACTTCTCTGTCTACAAAGAGAAATAGATTATTAATATTCTTTTTCTTGTGTTCTGTAATTTAACCATTTTGGTAGTTCAAATTTTTATTATTTTTTAATTGTGCTTCTGTTCTAACTTACACAGTTATTCATAGTTTAATTGAATGAGATCTGATATTGAATTGTCATAGTTCTCTTAACTTTTAATGTTAATTTTGTAATACATGCTGTAGGTAATAAATATGGATAACATGTTTTTGTTACTTTAAATCTGTTTTTATAATATTTTTATTTTGCAGTAAATTCTATAAAATTTCATCCCTCAGAGCAGTTGGCTCTCACTGGTATGTTGATATTTTTCTTTATTGAACAAATTTGATAATCTTAAAACATCTATAAACATCCCTTTCTTATCAGTGGCATCAGAAGTATCCATGGCTTTTATGAAAGTTAGACAATCTTTAGTAGACATTTTATGAATTAAATGAGAAATGAATGAATAAAGAAAAATACATCGAGTAGTACTTTTTATAATCAGTAGTGTAACAGTAAGGCCAAGAGGGCCGATCCCGGTACTGGCCAACTGCCAACAATAAAATAAAATTAGTAGTGGATTACCAACCAAATTAACTTGAATTTTTTATGTGACTAAAATCATTTCATGCTCTTCCTGAAGTCCTTTTGTAAAGCATTTTATTCTGCTCTTTGAAGCCCAGTGATTACTGCTGTGTCTCCTAATGCTGTATGCAAATGAAATAAAGAAATGAAAAAAAAAAAATACTACAGAGACACAGCAGCGTGCCAGAGTCAGTGTTTTTATTCCTTTCTAGATAATTTACCTAACCTGAGATAGCTTAGATTTGTCATAGTTTTATACAGTGGTTTAAAAACAAACCTATTTGTTGCTTTTGGAGGATAGCCTTATTGTACTGAGGATTTTTTCTATAAAATTGTCTGACACCTGTAGAGCCCTGTGATATTTTAGAGACACTGGTGATAATCTTCAAGGATTGTCAGGATGTAAGGTCTTTTGATAGACCAGGGGTCAGCAAACTTTTTCTGTGAAGGACCAGGTAGTAGGTATTTTAACCTTTGAGGGCCACACGGGGGTCTCTGTCACCACTACTCAGTTCGGCTGTTGTAGTGAGAAAGCAGCAGAGACTGTGGAAGATGATTAGCTTTCTGTGGAAGATGATTAGTACACAAATGAGTGGATGTGGCCATGCTGTAGTGAACTTTACTTACAACAGTGGTGGCTGCCTGGGCTATGTCCGTGGAACTGATTTTGATGCCCCTGGTAGAACACACAAGTTGAAGTGATAGGGCGCTTCGTGAAGGAGGGCTTGTTTAAGTAAAGAGCCCAAACACAGTGCCTTCTCCGGGGAAGTGGCAAGTCACTCAGTGTGGTAAGAGAGCTCTCACATGTGAGAGGATTATGGTGGGATGGTTGGTTTGACAATCACTTTAGCAGACTTAGACCAAGTAAGCAATTTATACCTTAATAAATACTGGAGGTATAAGGTAAGCAAGGAGCTTAAACTTCATTAAATTGGCAATTTATTGTATGATTGGAAGGGGGAAGGGAGGAAAGGAGACCAGTGGCAGTTGGATGTGTCCAGATTTAAACCCAAGGGCTAGAAAGGAGGGTTGAAACCAAGAGATGTTTTAAGAAGGAACTGGTAGAAACTCCGAGACAGATAAAGTAATGGGAATAGGAGAGTTAGACTGGGATTTAGATGATATTGATTTGAAGAGAAGTTGGCGAGTCAGGGCAATAAATTCATTTGCACTCTGAAAAGCGCACCACCATCAACACATAGTAACTTCTTTAGGGAAGTTCTGTAGCAGTGAAGACAAGGTGGATGCCAGGCTGCCTTTGTGAGGCGTGAGACATGACCGTTCTGATATATCTGAGGCCTGCTCTGTGCCCTGCAGTGCTGTCCTGTCTTTCCATTCCTGAGTCAGAGCATTTCCTTGCAAATTTGGCTGGTGGAAAGAGAGGAACAGGGATGCAGCACAAGTAAGTGGTACTAACAGGAGCCTGGCAAATTATAAGGTCCCATCAATGTTGAAGGGATGGAAGTGAGAGTCACTCACTTTCATGAAACGTGTCAGAATCTGTTATAGTCACAATTACAGTGTAATAGGTTTACTTAGACAGATGGAGAATAAAATCTACTCTTGTAAATTTTCTCTGAACTGCCACAGATTTCTACCCTAAAATGAAAGGGGATGTATAACACCAAGACCAAGGGTTTGGATCCCTGTACTGGTCAGCTGCCAAAAAAAGGGGAAAATTTTTGTAAATTATCATTTTAATTTTGCACACTTATTTTATTCTCAGTAGCATTATGCAGTCTCACAAGTACCTATTTAAATAAAGTACATTCATTTCACTAAATTGTCACTATGTTAGAGAAGTCTGATTGATGTTGCTTAGCTAGAGCATAGCAAAGAGCACATTTTATGCACAGTGTGTTCCTCGGGTAATTTTCCACTGATTTCTCTCTTCAGCTTCTGGAGATCAGACTGCTCATATTTGGCGATATGCGGTGCAGCTGCCAACTCCTCAGCCTGTTGCCGACACCAGTGTAAGCACATTTATCTGCCCTGAAAACTCACCTTGACTGTCCTTGCAGGATTCTGAATGTTTGCTGATTTTAGCAAAAATTTACACCATCTTGGGCCGGCCCGGTGGCGCACATAGCAAAGAGCACATTTTATGCACAGTGTGTTCCTCGGGTAATTTTCCACTGATTTCTCTCTTCAGCTTCTGGAGATCAGACTGCTCATATTTGGCGATATGCGGTGCAGCTGCCAACTCCTCAGCCTGTTGCCGACACCAGTGTAAGCACATTTATCTGCCCTGAAAACTCACCTTGACTGTCCTTGCAGGATTCTGAATGTTTGCTGATTTTAGCAAAAATTTACACTATCTCTTATGGACTAAATGTTTCTGTCCCCCACAAAATCCTGTGTTGAAGCCCTCATCTCCAGTGTGGCTGTATTTGGAGATGGAGCCTCTAAGGAAGGAGTTAAGGTTAAATGAGGTTTTAAGGATGGGGACTTGATCTGATGGGTTAGTGTCCTTGTAAAAAGAGACACCAGAGACCTCGTGTGCTCTCTCTCCTTCTCCCTCTGTCATGTGAGGACAGAATGAGAGGGTGGCCATCTGTGAGCCAGAAGAGAGCCCTCACCAGAAACCAAATTGACAGGAATCTTGTTCTTAGACTTCCAGCCTCCAGAACTGTGGGAACATAAGTTTCTGTTGTTTATAAGTTACCCAGTCTATGGTGTTTTGTTATGGCAGCCGTAACTGACCGAGACAGATTTTGGTACCAGAAGTGGGGTAAAATACCTAAAAATGTGGATGTGGTTTGGAACTAGGTAATGGTTAGAGGTTAGAAGAATTTTGATGTATATGTTAGAAAAAGCCTAGAATTCCATGAAGGGATTATTGGTAGAAATATGGACACTCATCTGAGACCAAAAGCAAAAGTCCTTCCAGCTATGAACCTGAAAGACAAAACCAAATTTATCTACTGCCAAGATACAATGGTGGAACAGACATTGGGTATACATTTCCATTCCAAAAGGGAGGAATAGGCCAGAAGAAAGGAGAAACAGGCCCCAAACAAGTCCGAAACCCAGCAGGACAGACATTAAATCTTAAAGCTCCAAACTAATCTTCTTTGACTCCAACTCCTGCATCCTGGAGACAATTGGGCATCTGGGCTCCCAAAGCATCAGGCAGCCTTGTTCCCACAGCTCTGCCAGGCACAGCACAGTGGGCCATGCTGGTGCCTGTGGCTTTCTCAGGCCTGCATTGCACGTTACCAGTGGCCCTGAAGTTCTGGGGTCCTGGCAGCAGCCCTGCTGCATTGGCAGTACTAGACATTTCCCTGGTGGGAGCTCTCTGTGGGGGCTCTGACCCCACTTTCCTACTCAGCATTGCTCTAGTAGATGATCTCTGGTGGCTCCGCCCCTGTGGCAGGTCTCTGCCTGGGCCCCCAGGCTTTTCCATACATCCTCCGGAATCTGGGTGGAGGCTGCCTTGCCTCGACTGCTCTCATATCCTGCCGGTCTGCCGACTTAACACAATGTGGATGCCACTGAGGTTTTGAGCCTCTACTCTCCAGGGCTGCTGCATGAACCACACTTGGGGCCGCTCCAGCCAGAGCAGCTGGGATGCAGGGAGCAGGATCCCAAGGGCAGCTGTGCCCCAGGTCTGTCCTCCAGGATAACTCAGTCTTTCTAGGCCTGAGGGTCTGTGATGGGTGGGTCACCCTTCCAGACTTCTGAAATGCCTTCAGGGCTTTCCTCTCATTTTCTCCACTATTAGCATCTGGCTGCCTCACTGCCAAGATAATGTCTTTAGCAACCAGTTTATCTGCTTCACCCTTGCATTGTTCTCCTGCTCTCCCCTTCTTTACCTCATGGTCAGGCTGCAAATTTTCCAAATCTTTATGCTCTGATTCCCTTTTAAATTCTGTCTTTACATCATGTCTTTGCTGCCATAACTCAGCGTAGGCTGTTATAAGTAGACAGGCAGCTTCCTGAATACTTTGCTGCTTAGAAATTTCTTCGGCCAAATGCTCTGGTTCACAGCTCTTAAGTCCCACCTTCCACAAAGTCCAAGGGCATGAACAAATGGAGCCAAATTCCTTGCTACAGTGCAGCAAGGGTGATCTTTTGTCCAATTCCCAATAAGTTCCTTATTCCTATCTGAGACCCCATTATCCACATGGCCTTTACTGTCCACATTTCTATCAGCATTCTGCTCACCACCACATAAGTCTCTAAGACATTCCAAACTTTCCCTCATCTTTTCCTCTTCTTCTAAGTCCTCCAAACTCTTCCAACCTTTGCCCATTACCCAGTTCCAAAGCTTCATCCACATTTTCAGGTATCTGTTTAGCAACACCCCACTCCTGGTACCAATTTTTGGTTTTAGTCTGTTTTGTGTTGCTGTAACAGAAATACCTGAGACTGGGTAATTTATAAAGAAGAGAGGTTTATTTCTTATGATTCTGGGACAGCTGCATCTGGCATGGGCCTTAGGCTGCTTCTACTCATGGCAGAAAAGTGTCAGGCAGCTGGCAGGTATAAGCAGATCACATGGCAAGAGAGGAAGAGAGAGAGAGAGGAGGTGCCAGGGTCTTTTAAACAACAAGCTCTTGTGGGAACTAATAGAACGAGAACTCACTCATTCCCCAGGGAGAGCATTAATCCATTTATGAGGGATCCGCCCCCATGACTCAATTAGTTTCTAACACTGCTGCATTGGGGATCAAATTTCCACATGAGTTTTGGAGGGGACAACACATCCAAACTCCATTAGGTGTGAACCACAAATTTAATCAGCCACCTCTGCAGAAGCCAGGAATGGAGAAGGGATACCAGCAGAGACATTGCCAGTGGAGCTAGAGGAAACAGGGAAAATGGGATGAAATGAAGGTAGACTGTTGAACTTCTGGGATTCTACAGCACCAGAAAGTAGTGCTGTCTGGCTGAACAGGCATTATCCTTCAAGACAAGTGAAGAAGGACCTGGAAGGGGATTCAGAGATTGGCAGGGCTGCTCCTCCCATCACAGGCCTAGTGGGGTAGGGTTGGTTCTTCCTTGGTTTTAAAGGGTGGGGCCTCTTTGGTTTTGGGGGGCTGGGATGCCATGGCCCAGCACTGGGGGGGGCAGGGCTGCTCAGCAAGCCATAGGGTGTTGCTGCTCCCTCCATGGGCCCGAGGGCAGAGCATGGAGCCCAGCAGGATCGCCTCCAGCCTGAAGACTCCTTGTGGTATCTGCCTTACTAGGTTCTGGACTTGCTTGAGACCCGTCACCCCCCCCCCCCTTTTTTTTGTCTTTTTGTCTTTTTTCGTGACCGGCAACGGATCGCAACCCTCAGTGTCGCGCCCGGACCGGGACCGGCAACGGGATCGCAACCCTTGGTGTTGCCCCCGCTCCTCGCTCAGCCAGTGAGCGGCCGGTCCATATGCGGGATCCAAACCCTCGGCGGGAGCGCCACCGCACTTCCCAAGCGGCGCACTGCAGCAGTGCGCCACCGGGCTGGCCCCGAGACCCGTCACCCCTTCTTTCTTCCCTGTTCCTCCCTTTGGAATGGGGATATGTGTCCTGTGTCTGTCCCACCATCATATTTTGGAAGCACACAACTTGTCTGGTTTTGGTAGTTCATAGCTGCAGAGAAATTTGCCTCTGGATGAGTCTCACCTTGAGTCTCACCCATATGTGGTTTAGGTGATGTTTAGATGAGACTTTGGACTTGAGTGTTGGTGCTGAACGAATTAAGACTTGCAGGGCTGTTGGGGTGGGATGAATGTTTTGCATGTATGAAGAACATAAATTGTGGGGAGGGTTGGGGCATAGTGTTATGGACTCATTTTTTTTCCCTAATTGACACCCTAATCTGCAGTGTGGCTGTATTTGTTGATGAGACGTCTAAGGAAGTAGTGAAGTTTAGATGGGGTCATAAGGGTGGATCTCTGATCCAATGGGATGAGTGTCCTTGTAGGAAGAGACACCAGAGAGCTCATTCTTGCTCTGTCCCTGGACATGCAAAAAATCACGTGAGCACACGGCAAGATGGCAGCTGCCCTCAGGCCAGGAAGAGAGCCCCGGCCATAACCTGACATTGTGGAATTCTCGTCTCTAGAACTGTGAGGAAATAAGTTTCTGATGTTTGAGGCACTCGGTCCGTGGTATTTTGTAAGACAGTATCCAAGAAGCACCCTCAGTCACGTGCGTGTGCCTTTGCTTCAGCCTTCCTCCCCACACATACTTAGCACTAACCACTCATTCTTTAACATTTTGTGCTTAGATTGTGTTTCTTAATGTCTTATATATTTAACATTAGACACCTTGTTTGTCTTTCATGGATTTTTATTACTGCATCAGTTAATGGCTTATATGACATTTTTATGTGGGTAAAATTTTAACATAAGTAACAAAAGATGTTGCTTATTAAGAAGAATGATGTATTTATACCAGAAATCCTTAAATTATTGTTTACTTTGTGCTATTGGATACATTTGAACCACTTCAGTGCAACACCTTGTATCTATGATCATGCAGAGTTTTTAATTATTTATTGAGTGAAGGTGTGTTTCTATTATCTGTTAGTGATATGGTCTTAACGGATGGTTCACTGCCTGGTGCTGCCTGAGCAGGTGGCAGTGGTTCCAGGCAGACAGAGCAAGCATGTGTGATTGTCATGAGGACGACAGTGATCTTCTGGTTTTGATATTTCCATCTTGAATATTCCTTTACTGTTCTGACCTTATAAACATTCTAAACATTGTTCTATTTGGAGATGGGTTAAGCAATTAATAAATTCCACTGATAAATAAGAATGAGCTTTCATTAGTTGAGACATCTTAACAGTGCATACTGATCATGTTACGTATTTTGTTTTAGCATAGTTTTTTTCCCCCTATGTAATTACCAAACTCTTCCTTATGTGGTGAACTTCACATGCACATTCATTTAAGAAACAAGCAAGATGAGCACTGACAAGGGATGGGACAAAGAGATGAGATGGGGATTAATGTCCAGGAAATTTGAGAAGTGAGTTAACGTTGTATGGATTTTTTTCCAAATAAAATACGAAAAAAAGCACCAGTTTTTCAGAGGGGAGATTTATGTACAGAACTTACATTAAAACACTTCGTTGTTTAGTTAGAATACTAAACTCACTTTATTTTCTTTTTCATGCTTTGTCTGCATTGGATGCGGGAACTTTTCCTGCTTGTTAGCTGCTTCCTCAGGATTTGGGGCTCATGTCAGGGTTGGGGAGCTTGGTCTGAGTTGAAGACTAGCCTGCGTCACTTGCCATACCTCAAGCTGCTTCAGAGGCGCTGTCAAGGACAGGCTCTGCGTGACCGTCCCTGATGAAGAGCAGATAGTGCAGCCATCCCCGGGTGTCCGTGGCGGATAGGTTCCAGATAGCAAGACCCGCGGATGCCCAAGTCCCTGATATAAAGCAGCATGGTACGCACTTTTCTTTACCTGTTGCTAAGTGCCCGTGGTACGTCTTAGGGTGGAAGCAACTTGTTAAGCTTTTGCTGGCCAGTCTTGACTCAGGTCTGCTTAGCAGTTCTAATCCTAGACTTGAAAATGAACCTGTTAAGATCTGGGTTCATCTTGAATCAGCATTTGGACAGATGTTTTCTTTTTTAAATATGCATCCGTGAGTTCTACTTGACATTCACAGTGTTGGTTAAAAAAAAGTTTGGTTGAACCTAAGATCTGGGTTCATCTTGAATCAGCATTTGGACAGATGTTTTCTTTTTTAAATTTGTATCCGTGAGTTTTACTTGACATTCACAGTGTTGGTTAAAAAAAAAAATTTGGTTGATGTAGTCCAAACAGATTTAGATTATTAACTAAATAATTGTATCACATACCGCTTATGTGATACTGAGTCCTTAATTAGTTAATTAATTTCTCCCATTTGAAAGTGAAAATTGAAAGGGAGTTAAGTGGCTTCTCATAGCTCTTGCAATATTGGAACACTATGATTCAGTGATTTGTTGATATGTGGACTGCTGGTACTTAGAAGCTTTGTCAGTATAAAATTGGCAATTCTTGGACATTTATTAAAATGTTGCTGGCAGTAAAATGATTAAAGTTAAGTATATTAATTATCTTTAAGATGCTAGAATACATGTAAATAATTCCTACCCTTTCTATTTCCTACCCTTTGTAAAATTAAGGTTAAAAGAGTTTACAACTGTTCTTTAACATGGTACCTATTACATTTACACTTTAAGATACTTTTAAATTCCTTGTGTGGTTGGAAAATTACTTCTATAAAGTAGTGACTTTGTTTCACCTTTTAAAACGTGGGTCTTGATAACCAGGAATGCCAGGCCTCCCTTCCAGGTTCCTTTTGTGTCTGTCCCACACACATGCATGCATATACACATGCACACACACATACAAGCTCACATACATGGTTCTTCCATTTGACCTTTCAAATGCCTCCCACTGAGCATGACTCAGACCAAGCACATGATCTTACTCCCAAACCTTTTAGACATTTTCTGTCTGAGGAAGTAGCTTTATTTTATGCCTAGTTTTAAATACTTTTGGCCAAAACCATTTAGTGAATTAGCCTGTTGTGTTCATTGCTCTAGGTCAGAACATTTGGAATTCTCTTTGACACATCCCTCTCTTTTATCCTCTCCCTACCCCATTTCCGTTTAGTCCATGAAACCTTACTGATTCTGGTTCCTAAATAATTCTTGAATCCACCTTTCTCTATACCATTTCTGCAACACCCACCCAGAGGTCTCCTCCAAGCAGCCCCTTGGCTGCCCCTGAGATTGGATCACGCAGGAGGAGGTGGGACAGATGGGACTGGCGCTGGAGGTCACATTCCCTCACCCCTTGTCTGCCAGTGTCTTTGCAGCCGTCATGCACGTGTGCACAGAGCTGCACAGAGCTGCTCTCCTTCCCCACCCAGGGATAGCACAGGTGCAGACAAGTAGACTGTGGAAGCTGAGCAGCCTCCCGGCCCAGGAGCCAGGACTCCACAGGCAGTGCCAGGGCTGGGCACCAGAGCCAGCCGGGCACCAAGCCCAGTGCTGGAGCATCCTGTCAGGAACTGATAATAGATGTGGAGTCCCCTGTGTAGATGCTGTTTACAGTTGGGTCATTTTGCCTTGAGCAGCAAGGGGACAAAGCCCTATCCTCAGGCAGAAGGGAAAGGGTTTGTCAGCCATGTACATTCGCAGATGAACAAGGTTTCATCTCCAGCCAGCTTGCTGCAGGCGTGTCCTGACCAGTCTCCCTGCCACAGGTTGGCTGCTATGTCCAGCTCCTTCGTGCTCCGGCAGGAGTGATCCTGCAGGGTCAGGTGCACAGTGCTCTCCTGCTTTCACCCTCTGCAGCTGCCCTGAGCCAGCTGAATGTTCTCCTTCCTAGTCATGGCTCGCCTGTTCCTAGGCCATCTCCTCTTACCCCTGCCCAAGCTCCTCACCCTTCAGGGTCGCTCAGATGTCACTTCCTGACCAGCCGGCCATCTGGTGTGCTCCCAAAGCCTCCTGCATTTTTTCTGTGTACATTCAGCATAATCTGAAATAGGTCATTTTTTGCATAATCATTGTGTTGAACTTTCTCACTAGGTTGTAAATCCTCTCTCCATGGAGAAATCCCAGCTGTGATTAAATCCACTTTTGCTCTTTCCCTTCCTGCTTTTGAGCAGTGAGCACCCTGCTTGGCCGCTCTTGCGTTGAGTGTGTAGCCTCCCACGTCCAGTGGACCCTGGGCTGCAGGATGCTGTGTGACAACCCTGTCATGCCCTGGCCTCTTCAGATCCTTCCTCCCACCCTCCCCACAACTGGAGGAGATGGAAGCACCTGAGTGGGCTAACATCTCCTCCCTCCCCCAGCACATCCGTGCAGGTACCGCTGTGCTGCATTCGTGGGCGCGATCCTTGCCTGCCATTGGGTCCTGTCCCCTCTCCTCCTGCATGGATTCCCTCTGTCCTATATCACAGAATGTTCCTGTCCTTCCCAACAGCACTTGCCCTGCAGACCATACCAGCCTTAGTCCCACGGCCTGGCCAGAGCCACCTCCTCGGAGTATCACCTGCACTCCTTCCCCTCCTGAGACACACTCCTCTCCTTTTGGGCCAGCTTCATGTCCCTGCCGCTGTGCTGAGCCCTGGTCATCAGCATCCTTTCCATGTACCCCACCCAGCAGACACTCTCAGGATGCTTCCTGGGCTGCTTCTCCGTGCCATTTGTCACTGTGGCTTTCCCTCCATCACACAACTCTTCTCTCCCCTTTTCTTCCTTCCTCTCACGTCTTGTTGGCTCTCTCCTCCTCCCGACACCTGCCCTCCCCTTGCCTGTGGGTCTCCTTCTGGCCCTCTGCCATCTCCTCTCTGACTTCTCTGTGATATCTCATGTCAGACAGGTGTCATCTGCCTTCTGTGCAGTGTAACTGGTATCCTGGTCTGGGGCCTGGCACACTGTAAGCACCTGATAAATATTTGTTGAATGAATAAACATTTTTGTACAGAGCTGAAGTCTGAGCTATTATCTTTTTATTTTATCCTTGGCTTTTGACAAAAGACTTCGTTGATATTGTAGAAAAATAAAATGGACACTTATTATAGCTGTAGAATTCTAAGTATATATTAAACAGGCTGCTGAGGATTGAAATGCTTTTTTTTTATTGTGATAAATTACTGACTTTCAATTTTGTTTGTTTAGCTTTCTATTACATCTGTACTATTAAGTGGTAAAAACATAAAGTGTTGAAAATTATGTTATTTGCTATTTCATTTATTAAGGGAAATTAATTGTAGCTCATTTGACATAATAGAGGCCTTAATTTTTTTTCTTATATTTAGCCTGGGTTTTAGCCAAGTAGATAGTCATTAAGTTGATAAGCACCAGTTATGTACACTGTGCTCGTACTGGTTATAATGATGAATAAGTCCTGGAAAGGTAAATGGGAACAGTTTGATTGTGTCCCCAGGAAATTTCTCTCTTTTCTAACCCTGACTTTAGCAGCAGATGTCTGGAGAGGATGAAGTAGAATGCTCTGACAAGGACGAGCCTGATGCTGATGGAGACACGTCCAGCGACTGCCCCACCATCCGGGTCCCACTGACAGCACTCAGGAGCCACCAGGGAGTGGTCATAGCTGCTGACTGGTTGGTTGGGGGCAAGCAGACTGTCACGGCCTCCTGGGACAGGACAGCCAACCTGTATGACGTGGAGACGTCTGAACTTGTGCATTCTCTGACAGGTGCCTCCCGCCTTTCGGTTTGTGCTTGTGTGTGTAGGTCCTCTGGCAGATTACTTCTTGGCCAGAATTATTTTTAGTTCTCTTGGCTCTTTGGTTGTAATTTTTGGTGATCCTTTCTAATTATATAATAATTATAATATAACTGTATTGGTAGTTAAATTCATCTTTAGGGAATTTAATTGTAGCATGTAGTATCTAGATGGTTAAAATATGGTCGTGGTATATTAGCTTTCTCTTGCTCTGTAACAGATCTCCACAAACTTAGTGGCTTAAAACAACAGGAATTTACTACCTAGTGATTTCCAGAGTTGGGGTTTCTTGGTCCTGGTAATGGGAACTCACTGGGGTTTGTGGTCCTCCCCTGAGCTTACTGATTGTTGGAAGAGTCCATTTCCTTGGGTATGTGACTGAGGCCTCCACTTTCCTGCTAGCTGTGAGCTGGGGACTGCTCCTAGCAATTAGCAGCTGTTCCTGGGTCCCTGGAGGCCCCTCAAGACGCCTTTCACCATGTACAGTTTGCTTTCCCCCAGGCCAAAGGGAACATGTGCCTCTGCTGCTCTGAGTTCTCTGACTTCTGGCAGGGCCTGGACCCTTTTAAAAGGCCCACCTGGTCAGGCCAATTGGGACAATCTTCCTTTTAATTAACTCAAAGTCAACTGATTTAGGGACCCTAATTACATCTGCAAAGTTCTTTTTGTCTTAAAATGTATCATAATTACCAGAGATCTCATCTTGTTTACAGGTTCTGCCCAAATGCAAGGAAAGGACATCACATAGGGCACGTACCCTGGGACTGGGGTCTCGGGGCTGTTTGAGGATTCTGCCTACCACAGTTTTACAAATGTGTCAGGAAAATTGCGTTTCCTAATTGAGTGTTAAGATTGTGTTTTACTGAGGGCCCACAGTATTATGTTATAAGAAGTTATTCTGGAGGTGAAGAATTAAGATTTGAGTTGTTTGTGCACTCAGCCTGTAGGTTACACATATAGTTCCCTGCTCCCTTTAAAAGGATGACTGAAAGCACTTCCAGCTTGTTAGGAAAAACGTGTCCCACTGTGACTCCACCTGTTATTCAGTGATTCCTTTAGGTTCATCTCTCCATTGGGTTTCCTGTGTTTTTAGGAAGCCCTCTTGCTGTGGCTCTGCTGCGGGTGACCTTGCATTTCTGTCGTCTTTGGCTTCAGGGCACGACCAGGAGCTAACGCACTGTTGCACACACCCTACCCAGCGGCTCGTGGTGACCTCCTCCCGCGACACGACTTTCCGTCTCTGGGACTTCAGGGACCCTTCTATCCACTCCGTGAATGTTTTCCAGGGACACACAGAGTGAGTCACGGTTGATCAGAAATTTGTTTGTAACTATTCATGGAGCAAGTTTTGTGGTTGACATTAAAACTGAATTCTAATCTTAATTTTCAGTATTACCAACTCTACTATCTTTCAAAATAGCGCTTATTTTCCTAAACATTTATGACATTTTGGAGATTTCAGAAGAGCTAGGAGGTTAAGAGAAGACTCTGATGTTCTCTGAAGAAGTTGGTTGACATTAAAACTGAATTCTAATCTTAATTTTCAGTATTACCAACTCTACTATCTTTCAAAGTAGCGCTTATTTTCCTAAACATTTATGACATTTTGGAGATTTCAGAAGAGCTAGGAGGTTAAGAGAAGACTCTGATGTTCTCTGAAGAAGTTGGGTGGGGATAGGCGGGGGGATCAAAAGCACTCCAGGCCCACGAGAGGACCCCACTGGAGCTGTTCTCAGCCACTCTCCTTATCTTCCTGGGTCGTCTTTGTCTAGTTTTTGTTACTACAAGCGTTTGCAGGGCACATTTTGGGAGAAAGTGCACACACACACGTGCACACGCGTGCAGACGTGGCCTTTCGCTCTAGCGTGTCCCTCTCTGCTTGGGTTTCCGTCAGAGCTCAAGCATAAGCATCTCCTAACAGAACGCCTTATTTCTTTCCACAAACGTGTTCTTCTCCCAGTCTGACCCTTCTCAACAGATGACGAGACTATCTGCCCAGTTACTCACACCACAGACTTTGGAATATTTCTTGATTGTTCTCTTTTATCACTATCCTCCATTCTATCCCCTGTCTAGTCCACGAGACTCCTGTCCAGTCGCATCTGCATGGCACAGACCTGGGTGGTAGTGCTTGGCCTGCCTGATGCCTCAAGTCCAGAGAGCACCTGCCCATAGTGGCTCTCAGAGACTGGTTTTTAAATGAGTGAAATACTTGTTTATTTGGCTATTCCAAAATATGAAAATCTGTTTTTTGTGTTTAACATTAGATACTAAGTTTTAGATTCAGTGTCAAATGTTAGTAAAATGCTTAAATGGAAGAGAGGACCAAGTTTGTTAAGAAGCTTGAGACTTGAATCTGGGGGCCGGCAGCAGTCGCGACGCATGGTGAGGTCCTCGTGTGTGACTGGTCTGTTATGGGAGCTTCACACATGTCTTATGATGTCGTTCTGACATAGGTAGGCATTTATTCCACTAGCTGGGTTGACAGTAGCCACAACAGAAACCCCTCAGTTCTCAACAGTTGAGCACGTACAGTGTTGTTTCCTTTTGGGGCACCAGTGTTCTAGTTTTTAGGGTGTTTCAACAATAAATTTCTCATTGTCTCTTGGCTGTGAGATGTAGGGAGTGCTGGTGTTATGTTTAAATGTTTAATTCGTGGTGCATTTGTGCAGCTGGTGGGTACATGAAATAATGCTTTCTAAAAAGATACACTTAAGAGGAGTGTGTAACTGGTTATGAAAGAGTTCTTATTATTTAATATGGACCTATGAATACAGTTTCTTAGGGTTGTGTTATTTTAATGGAATCAGATACAGGCTCAGTGTAAGTGTGGAGTGTGTAAGGGTTGTGTTATTTTAATGGAATCAGATACAGGCTCAGTGTAAGTGTGGAGTGTGTAATTCACACTAGGTAGCACTGCCACCCAGGTCTTCTCAGATTCAGGTTGATGCCCATGTTCACTTCAGCCATGGGGATAAGGGGACATTTTAGTGAGAACAGTATGTATGCACAAGAACTGCTCTATTCAGATTACTTACATTTTCTCTTTCTTGCTTGAATTAATGTGAAGTAGCATATTTTGTTGATGTGTCCATCCAAAAATAAGTTTTGGATAGTTCTTTTTTTGGTACTAATTTCCTTGCTGTAAGTGTCAGAGAAGGGGAAGTTTTAACTTTTTAAACCTTTCTGAATGGTTGGGACTTGCGAGGAACCACAAGGCTGGCTGGGTTTGCTTAAGGGCCTCCCTCCCTCCCTTCAGGCCACTTGTGCAGGTTCAGGATGTGGTCAGCAGATGGAGCTGTGGGCACCTTTGTTGAACATGAAGTATTTCATACTAATATTAGATCAGCAGCAAGCCTCTAGAAATACCTCTAATTTAGAAAAGCAGGACATGAGGCATTTTTCAAGGTTTCAGTTGTGGAATCTTCATAGTTAATAACTATTGCTTTTTGTCTCTATCATGGGTTCTCTAGGGTTGAGCCCGTATGAAAATTAAACCTACAGAGTGCATTATCTTTGCAAATGTACAGATGTGTGTCCACACCCAGGCCTGCTTTTCTTATAAGCAAACATGAGGGCTTATTCCTGGTTATGAGCAATGCTGTCCTGTCACTCCTCAGGGTGTCCTGAGTGTGGCTTATCAGAGTGAACCCTGGTCTCCTGCCCTCCCCTGTCACACCGCTCTGATGGATCCTCCCCTCTGGTGGCTCTTCTGCAGTGGTCCACAGCATTCTCGTGACACTGTGAGCCCCTGTCCACTGTGCATCCTCAGGTCCACAGCACAGTCTTCTGGTCTCATGAGTGACCTTTGGTTTTCCAGGACATGCACTTTGTACCCAGTTTTGTTCCTGAACATTAAAGCAGAACTCAGACATGCAGTTAGAAGTTTACTGTTTTTGTTGGTGCAACCCTGAAAAGTTGTTTGTAAACTGTTTCTTAGTGAATCATTTCTTAAACAGAGGTAGTATTTCTTAAACATACGGGACTACAAAAACCTTTTCATACGTAATACATATTAACATGATATGGAACACACTTTGAAATTTTATCTTAGGGAGTGTTTTTAATTACAGGAACTCAGCATAAATTCTTTACTAAGGTATATTTGAATCTAATGTCTTATAACATGAATGATTCACTTAACTGTCAGCTAATTTGAATTTCTGTATATTGGATTTTTTTAAGGCAAGATGTAGCTATATAGGCTTCAAGACTGTTGGCCCAGTTTTTGTAATCTAGTTTCTGTAGGAGGTGGGAGAGAGATTCTCCCCTTCTTCCTTTTTTCTCTTACTGTTATCCCTGAACTTTTATAAGGATCTATGCCTTTTTGAAAAATTAGAGTTTGAGATATAATACTTTACTGTAAGATAAATTCTATCCAAGTGGGTCCCCTTGAAATTTGCACTGTCATTATCTTTGCTGGGTAGAGAGAAAGCCTTGATGTAAGCTGTGTTTAAGGCTTTTGTTGTACATTTTTAGAAAGGACTAATAAGCCTTTTTCTTTTTTGATGTGTTACATTTATTTTCACTCTGTATTATGACAATTTCTTCATTATAACAGGAATTTTACCATAATAGTATTTGCTCATATAACTGTGTGGCTGTTATTATTTGACTAGTTCTTAGCAGCCCAATGTGTACTGGTTTATACGAAAAGTAATTTCAAATACTCTATATAACATTGTTTTCCTAATACCAGGGATGCGAAATTGTAGCATGTGTTGTTCTTGGGAATAGAAATGTTCAGTTAGAAAGATTTGGAATGTGTGGCATAATCCTGCCAACTACACCAATTGTAGACCTAGGGCTAGGGTCTGAAGCTCACAGGCCCCTCGAGCTCATTCACAAACACTTCACACACAGGTCTATAGCTAGGTAACCAGCAAAAATGTTCTTGGAGACTTGGTTGAAGAAGGAATGGTCTTTATTCAGCACACACCACTATGAACTAGGCATACCAAGAGAAACTCAGAAACTCTACTGCTACAGGCAAAGTCCAAAGAAAAACTGAAACTGAGCAGCTGCCAGCAGAGTAAACATGCTCTATTGTTAGATGTGAGCTTTCTGCTGCCAGCCTGCTTCACAAACTGCAAAACACAAAATAGCTACAAAACTAAAAAGATACATTGGTGCACATGCATACTAACTCCACCCACATACAACTTGTTTATAAGAAATGTCCAGGGAGCCTGACTAAATTATCCTATTTTCCCCACAATCCACCATACAATCTACATGATAAAAATCTGCCGCGATGTTCCTTTAGTGAGGATAAATGACCTGTTTATTTATACAACCTATTGTCTGTTCGATATGCCTTAATGCTTGTCCTGTAGTTCTGTCCTTTAGCTGCACACGTCCGGTTAGTAGTTATCATTGGTGTGATTTTCCATGGGAATCCTGTAGTCATACTGATGTGAAGTTCAGTGCATATTCAGTAGATGATCACACCAATGTATGTATGTACTCAGTCGACTCTGGTGAAGTGCCCACAGCCAGAACACTATGGGCAAAAAGACAGAAGGGTTATTGGTACCAACAGGGAAAGTTTTCGCCCCTCTGGTAAGATACATGCCAGTTTGCCATCCTGAGAAAGAATGGTTGCAGGAATAGGTATCTTACCTGGTTTATGATACCATACTTTATCTGCTAACACTGTGGGATCTATAGGTTCTACATGTAACAGTATAGGGGAACTCATAATTGGCCATAATGATAATACAAATGTGCCGTTTAGAATAGAGCACTTATCTGTTCTAGGCCATGTTACCTTTACTCGAGGAGGCCAGGCACTTGTCACCCAAGATGAAACTTGCAAGCCTTCCTCTAATCCTTTTCCCCAAGGCCCTATTAAGCCAACCCAGTGTAAATGGGTGCTTTTATTCTTCTAGGCCATTCCCATTGTACTGTCTGTCCCTGTTGCAAACAGGTTGGGGCTGGTAAGAGAATATTTCCATTCTTACCATATCCTGGCCTCAAAAGCTCATCTTTAGTAGTGACTTGCAGTTGTATAGGTGCAGCAGCCCTATACAACTGAGCTTCCACTGAAAAGGGCCCGCCCTTGCAGGGTCTCTCATTTAGAATCCTTACTATCAGCCATAACCACTCTGTCCACCCCTTCAGGGATGGGGGTTGGGCAGATAGCCTTAGTCCCTTTTTTAAAAGACCATTGTACCGTTCAATCATTCCCACTGCCTGGAGAGGATATGGCACATGTAACTTCCACTGAATGGACAACTGGGAGGTCCACCTCTGAACCCCGTGTCCCGTAAAGTGGGTTCCATTATCACTCTCTAT